TTTTTTTTTTTTGAGACAGGGTCTTCCTGTAGCCCCAGCTGGCCTGGAACTGGCTTTGTAAACCAGGCTGGCCTTAATCTGACAGAGATCTGCTTGCCTCTGCCTCCTGAGTGCTGGGATCAAAGGTATGTGCCACCATGCCCAGCTCCAAGATGAGATCTTCAGAGAGAAACAGCAGGGCAAGGAGAGAAGAGTAGTAACCTTGAGTCTGAGAGAGCATCAGAGAAGGGGACAGAGAGGGATGGAGCCAGGAAGAAAGCCAGAGGGCTAGAAGAATACCAGAGGTCTGTGATGTCTCAGAAGACATAGGTGGTGTTGCTAAAAGAGCAAATATTAGGCAAAATCATACAAGAAGTGCTCAAAACCAAAACAAAATTGGAGTGTTATCTGGTTCAACCTTAGTAGACCAAAACCTGAAAAGTAACTGGTATTCATAACAGAAATGTTGGTAGAGGTGTTGGAACAGAGCAACACTGGAAGGAGAAAGGGGTGGGATGGAAACTAATCAGGGCATGGTCAGCAGGACTTGATGACTGGTTGGGTACAGGAGGGGATAAGAAAGGGCAAAATCAAGGGTAGTCTCAAGTTTCAGATTTGGCAGCTGAGTATCAGTGTGTTTGGAGGGGATGGGTACCTGTGCAGAGCATATGCGTTTAGGGTTGGTGGATTCCTTAACCTTCTAGACAGGAGGATGCACTGATATTTGGATCTCTGAGTCTAGAGCCATTCTTACTACCTGTGCATTCTTGACTCCAAAATGCAGATTTGGGGGGAGTCAAAAGCATGTAGGTGAATTTAGTCATCAAGATTTATCCAGCACTTGCTGAAGGCAAGCATTTTCCTAGTTGCTAGGACTATACTAATAAGACATACAGCAGGTACATCAAGAAGGCAGTAGGGTAGCAGTAGATTGAGGAGGGAGTGGTGAGGTTACCGTGGCAAGGGCCAGACCTCGTGCTCTACAGGTTGTAGAAGGATGAAAGGCCTCTAGATGGGCGAGGCTGCTGTGGAAAAGCAGGAATTGGGCAGGAGAAAATCCACATAGAACTTCCCCTTCCATATGGGCCCCAGAGCCAAAAAAAAAAAAAAACCCAGCTCCTTTGTACAATGGGTGGGTGGCCTATCCTGGGGGTGGGGACTGTGCTTGGTCCTGAGCTCTGTTCCTTGGGGGCCTGGACAATGAGGCCCCTTGTTATTGGACTTGGGGGCCAAGTGACCCCCTCAGTGAGGAGATTCCTTAGCCAGGAGGCATGTGACCCCAAGACCTTGGCTTCTTGCCACTGGAGATGGGATGGGAGGATACCTCACTCTGGAGGCTTTCTGGAGACAGTGCCCTACTCTGTCTCTGGCTGGAGGAGATAGAGGTGGGTGGCAGAGAGAGCTGTGGCTCTGCCTGCAGGAGCTGGGAGGGAAACACCTGGTTCCACAGCTGGCAGGAAGGGAGGAGCTGCTGCCCCAGGCCCAGTGGGTAGAAGTAGCCTGGACACCTGGCAATCCTGTCTGTATTGTATCCCTTCAGAAAGGAAAGAACATGGAATTGGAAAGGATTGTCAGTACAGCCCTACTTGCCTTTGTCCAGACACACCTCCCAGAGGCAGACCTCAGGTAAGAATAGCTCCCTCTGAAGGATCAGGCTAAGTTCAGGGTGGCTGCTGGCCACTGGCAAATAGAAAAATGGGCACAAAAGCATCACATGAGGAGGGCTGATTATTATTATTAAATATTTTATTATTTTTATGTGTATGAGTGTACTGCCTACATGTATGTGAGTGCATCCGTGTTGTGCAATGCCATGGAGGTCAGAAGAGGGCTTCGGATTCCCCTGGAACTGGAGTTAAGGACAGTTTGTAGCAGCCATGTGGGTGCTGGGAACTAAAGAGAGGTCCTCTGCAAGAGCTCTTAACTGCTGAGAGCCATCTCTCCAATCCTGAGGGCTAGTCTTTTAAAAAAGTGTTTATTTGGGCTGGAGAGATGGCTCAGCGGTTAAGAACACTGACTGCTCTTGCAGAAGACCCGGATTCGGTTCCCAGCACCCACATAGCAGCTAACAACCAACCCTAACTCCAGTTCCAGGGGATCCAGCACCCTCTTCTGACATCTGTGGGCACTGCATGACACTGGTGTACTTGCATACATGCAGGCAAAACACTTACACATAAAAGAAAAACCCAAAAAACTAATAAATAAAAATACTTTAAAAAAAAAAAGTGTTTATTTATGTGTATGTGCATGTATATTTGCATGTGATGAGGCCAGAAAAGGGCATCAGATACCCTTATGTAGGTACTGGGAACCAAACTCTGGTCCTCTGAAAGAGCAGCAGTTGCTCTTAACCACTGCACCATCTTTCCAGCTCAGGGAGGGCTGATTTTGATTTGCTGAAATGGCCTTACCTCTCATGCTTTGTCTATCACCTTTATTAGACTGATGGAGAACCAAAGCTGGAGTCGGGGAGGGGAATCTCTGGCCTCAAGGACTGAGCTCTGACTAATGGATGCCCTAGAAACTGAGGAGTCTTAGTGTAGATGGGGGATCCTGGAAGCATCCAGTGTCCTACTCAGGGCTTGTCCTATTCACTTTCTTCCAGTGGCTTGGATGAGGTCATCTTCTCCTATGTGCTTGGGGTTCTGGAGGACCTGGGCCCTTCAGGCCCATCAGAGGAGAACTTTGATATGGAGGCCTTCACTGAGATGATGGAGGCCTATGTGCCTGGCTTTGCCCACATCCCCAGGTGAGGCCTAGCTGGGTCAAAAATGAGGAGAAGGCTGGCTGTGGAGAGTGAGCACAGTGGTCCCCTCACCATCTTTATCTTTTCAGGGGTGTAATAGGGGACATGATGCAAAAGCTCTCAGTACAGCTAAGTGATGCTAGAAACAAAGGTAAGTTTGAGGCTCTGGCATTTGGGGAATTCATTATCTGTCTCCCCTCCCCACCCAAATCTCTGGTAAACCTGATGCCCTCTCTGCCTCTTAAAGAGAACCTGCACCCTCAGAGCTCTTGTGCCCAAAGTCAGGTGCCTATTTCTCCAGAGCTCCTGCAGCAGCCTGAAAAGCTCAAAGAAGAGACCAGGTCTCCTGTTGCTGCTGGGGACAGCCAAGATGAGGTACTGGTAGAAGAGGGAACCAGTGAAGGACTTTGAGATAGGAAAGGAAGAAATGTGGCCTATTGTCAATGTTTGTGCCCACAGGCAGCTGGCACTGAGGAGGAACTGCTGCCAGGGGTGGATGTCCTCCTGGAGGTATTCCCTACCTGTTCCATGGAGCAGGCCCAGTGGGTGCTGGCCAAAGCCCGGGGGGACTTGGAGGAGGCTGTGCAGATGCTGGTAGAGGGCAAGGAAGATGGGCCTCCAGGCTGGGATGGCCCAAATCAGGTATCTTCTTCCAGCCCCACCCCCATAATCTCAGCTCCGTTCTGCCTTCTTGTTAAGCACCCACCCCTACCTATCCTGATCTGTTTCCCCTGTTGTTTCCACTGGGCATAGACTGGGTCTCTCATATCTGCAGGACTTGCCCAGGCGCCTCAGAGGCCCCCAAAAGGATGAGTTGAAGTCCTTCATCCTTCAGAAGTAAGTCTGGGCTGGGTTGGGCTGGGCTGGGCCGGGCTGGGCCCTAGAGGGTCTCCCAGGGTAACAGGCACTTAACCTAGCCAGTTTTTGGTAGGTACATGATGGTGGATAGTGCAGAGGATCAGAAGATTCACAGACCCATGGCTCCCAAGGAGGTAAGAGGGTTCAGTGCAGTTGGGGATGTGGAATGAGGAATCCTGACTCTTGATTTCTGCCATTCATTGCCTGATTGCCTGACAGGCTCCCAAGAAGCTGATCCGATACATTGACAACCAGGTAGTGAGCACCAAAGGGGAGCGATTCAAAGATGTGCGAAACCCTGAAGCTGAGGAGATGAAGGCTACGTACATCAACCTCAAGCCAGCCAGAAAGTACCGCTTCCATTGAGGCAACCCCTGGACTCTGCTGAGACTTCCAGATCTCAGAGGGATGCAGGACCACCCCACCCCCCAACTCCTAGGGCTTTCCTTACTCTAGTTCCTTCTACTGCCCCTTCTCAGTGTCCCTGCTATATAATGTTAACCTATTCCTGGAGCTGCCTCCATGAGCACAGTAAAGGTAGTAAAAAGAAGGGTTAAGTGCATTCTGGTCATTTCTAACCCCAAGGCTGGAAGAGTTACTCTGCCTGTCCAGACTTCCCTTCCCAACCTCACATCCCCTATGCACCAAGCAGGAAGGGGTAAAAAGCTTTTTATTTGAAATTCCAGGGTGGGGCAGGGCACAGGCCTCTCACCAGAGGTTCCCACAGTTCAGTTTCCCTATAGCTCAGTGTCAGACCCCAGCTACACAGTCCAGCTGTGCTCCCACCGGCAGGAGGGTCAGTCAGACCTGCAGGTTGACAAAAGGTGCGAAGCCTGCCATGTCCTGGAGTAGCACCAGGGCCTGGTGCAGAGGGGGCTCCACGTCGATGTCCACGCCACGCTTCCGCAATCGACTTAGGCTGGGCTCGGCCACGTGGTGGCAGTGCCGCACCCGTAGAGAGCGCAGAGCCGGACAGTACTCTGCCAAAGTCCTGAAGGAGGAGCAGGGTGATGCTAGAGGCAGGTGGCCCCCACATCTTCGGCAGGGCCAGCCTACTAAACCTGTGTCTGGTTCCAACAAATTCCAGGTTTCCCTCCAGCTCAGGGCCTTTTATCTTCAGTACCCAAGGAAGGAGGCCTGGATGGAATGAGACACTCCAGGCCCCCAGCTCACTGGGGAACCTGCCCTCAGTTCTACCCAGGGTTTCAGGATTACCCCCTTGTTGCAGAAATGCCAGGAATCAACTTTATGTGACAAACCTTGGTTCAAAAGTTGTTTAAACTGTGGGCGCCCTAGGCTAAATAATCCTAGGTCTTTCTGTTCAGAGAAGGAAAACTGGGTCACAGGAAGGTCTAGAACTCCCAGTTGGGCCTTTGACAACTAGAGTCCGCCCCTAGCCCCAGAGTGACTGCCCTCCTTCCACCCTCCACCCCCCAGACCCAGGCACCTGACACTGTCGCTTCCGACTCGAAGGCAGCCTGTGAGGTCGAGGTGCTCGAGTTGCGGGCAGTTTCGAGCCAACTCTTGGACTGCGGTGTCACCCACGTTGGCGTTGACCGCTAAGGAGAGGCTGCGGAGGCCAGCGCCGCGCCTCTGCGCCAGGTAGACGATGGCCTCGTCCTTGAGCTGGCGGCAGGCGGTGAGGTCCAGCTCCTCCAGGCCCGGGCAGCGGTCCGCGAGTCCACGCAGTGCCAGCCCGTCCACCCAGTCACAGTGAGCGAGCGAAAGGCGCTGCAGCCGCGGGCAGCCCTCAGCCAGCGCCCCCAGCGCTCGGCGGCTCAGCTGGCTGCAACCCGCTAGCGCTACGCTCCGCAGCTGCGGATTCCGTGCCAGCACTGGCACCAGGTCGTCGTCCGATAGCCATTCGTGACACGGGGCCAGCGCCAGCTCCTGCAGCCCCTCGGCGTCCCGAAGTAGCCGGGCCAGTGCAGCCCTCGGAATCTGCGAACCCACCTACGGGCCGGAGACACCGAGACGATCTTTCTCCGAGGCGGGACTGACATTGCCTATCCACTCCCGATTCTTGACCGGCAGCCGCTTATCCTCGCCTCGCCCCGCCTCGCCTCGCCCCGCCCCGCCCCGCCCCGCCCCAGGACTGCACGCTTTCCAGGAGTACGATGCCCAGGACTCGCCCTTTAGGGAGCCCACGCTGCCTGGGTCGCTGGTCGGGCCGCACAGGCGGGCAGCACCCGGGGGCCGGAAGGGTTTACAGTCCAGCGGGGGATCTGGGCTGGAGGCGGTGCCCACACAGGAGCTGCACACGCGGGTGGTGCCCACACAGGGGCGGGGCTCCGGTCCCCGGCTCACCTGGGCTGCGTCGAAGCGGCGCAGGCCGGCCAGGTGCAGCTGAACTAGCGCCCGGAAGGCCCGGCTAACGCGCTGAAGCCGGAGCAGCTGGCGTAGCGGGACCCAGTGCAGGACGTGCGGGAGTAGCACGTCTTCCCAGGGCAGGTCCAGGAGCCTGCGGATAGAGTGGCGTTGGCGTCTCCAGGCCGCTGTAACGTGCGAGCCCCTCTCTACTCTGCTCTAGCGCCCCGGCTGGCAAGAGGGGTCCCCAGGCCTTGCCAGAACTCAGCTCTCCTCCCGCGGGTCTCATTTCCCTCCCTCCGCACCTCCAGTGCTCGGTACCTGACGGCTCCGGGTTCTTGCTCCCCTCCGGAATGCTCCATTGGTGGCTCAGTCGGCGGTCTACTGCGCGTGCGCAGTAAGATCTTCCAGCTTTGGCCTTGAAGCGACTGCGGCGAATCCGCCTCCTTAGTCTGAACAGACAGACCGATTCAATCGAGTGCGGTCTCACTGAGAATCCTTATCCGAAAGCTTTCCGGATGGACCCCGAAACTGAGGCAAAACAGAGCAGCAGCGTACCATTAGACTGTCTTCTCAGCTCCAGGGCTTGAAGCCCGAGGCTGCAGGAGCGGTGAGCGGAGACTGCTTTCGGTCTTCGTAGTGGGCCAGTAGCCGCCTCTGAGTGGTGATGGGAGGAGCGGGCAAGGCCAAAGGCAGAAGGGGCGGAGCCAGGACTCCTAGGTTACCGAGGGCCTCCCTCTGTCCTCTGGTCGCTTTTAGCGGCTTTGAAAAATGGGGAGAGACTGACCAGATTCCTACCGACTGCCATGTAGTAGGTATTCAATAAATAATTGCCAAAAGGAAGAATTAAATGGGAGCGACGCTACAGTTTTTCTTTGCATCAAGCAAACTTGTTCAAACCTCCCATTCCTGGGGAATTGTGAATATCAGTTCAGAATATCCCATCCATCCCTTTCCACTTCAGGAAAACGTGGGCCGACTTTTTGCCTGAGGAGAGAGGCGAGAGGGAGTGGGAGGGGGGAGATTAAGAAGGACTATAACTTCCCCGGGGCTCCTTCCCCCAGAGGTTCGAGCCCAGGAGGAATGCATGCTCGGTGCAGCCCACCAGCGGTCCCGCTTCTCCACTGACCCTGGCTGGGTTCATCGTAGGGTCTGGGACCGGACTCGCTGGGGGACAGTGACGGACGACCCAGAGCTCGCCACTCAGCTAGCGGGCTTCCCTTTCACCATGCCCCCAGGTTCTGCTCTGGGGAACCCCTAGCATCCAACCATCCTCCAGCATCCAAAATAGGTGTGGGGGCTTGTGAAGGACTGGAGGGTCAACTGCATCCTACATGGTTGCGCGCTCCTGGGTAAGCGCTTCAGCCGCTTCATAATGTTAATCACATTCGAACTCTCACCATGGCTTTGGGCACCTCTGCAAAGGTAGGCAGGTCATTACATTTTAAAGACGAGCAAGTCGAGGCTCTGGGGAGGAAGCTCCTTGACCAGGATCAAACAAAACAAGGAGAAAGGACCCAGTCATCCTGGTTTTCCTATAATCCCTACCACACTACCTCACTCCTCAACGTAGCGGGAAGGGAGAAGCCAGCCAGCATCGGAAAGACCAGAGGGTAAAATCGGGTGAGGGACTTGCTTTCTCTTCTCAGTTGACTTGGAGGAAGTGGTAGCTTGGAAGGATCTCTGCAGAGATACATGTGGGCGCGCACCACCTCCGGGCGCGCGCCTCGTCCCCCTCCCCGCTTTGTTCGCGCCTCTGCGCTTGCGCATTACGACAAATCTGGCGCTGTCCCCTTCAGCACCACGCGGAACCCGCCACCACCCCTCCCCGCGGTGAGCCCCGCGCGCCCCCGCCTCGAACGTCCTCGCACCTCCAGACTGCCCTGAACCGACCCTCTCTTCCTTCCGAGGTCATAACCTGCCAGACCGGGCCTTCCAAAGGAGAATAGTTGCCATAGTAACTCGTGTGGCGTTTTCCTAAAATAGACCCTCTTCCACCCTGACCAAGGGCACAAAGGTTGCTTATGCTCCTTTCCCTCCAGTCTTGGGGTCACGGTTTCTAACCTCTTGCCTCTAAACAGGCGGGACGACTAACTTGGGCAGCAAGGAAGTTCTTCCTGAAGTCTTTCCTGGGGTGGGTGGTCGGTATAGGGATCGTGAATCTGAAAACCAGAATCCCTAAGGGTTCAAGACTGCATTCCCTTGATGTTCCTTCCATAGTTGATCTCCTGGTTTTAGGGGGCGGGTCTGGTCTACACCGGTACTCCTGTGCTTTGCGTGGCCGCGTGCTCGTGGGGGCGGGAGCGCGTGTGGCATGTAACAGGTCATGTGGCAGCCTCCTAGGGACACGCGTGTGCAGCTGGGCCCTACGTGTGGTTCAGGAGAGGGTGGACCAGAGAGACCTAAACACGAGTGGGGTGGGGCATGTGAGGGTTTTGGGGAATAGAACTTGGGGTTCCCTACACTCTCCCCCTCCTCTAGGGTGGGTCCTAGGTTGGAGGGGGAGCCCAGAGGGGCCTAGGGCCGAAGGGGTTGGCAGCCTTTGGGACTCAGGGCTCTGGGAAAGGATGGAGGTGGGGGGGATTAGCGTTTCCTGAGCTGAGCGGGGGGGGGGGGGGGGGGGGGGGGGGGGGGGGGCGGGGGGACAAGCGGGGCCCCCCGACCCTCCCCCCGCGCGGGGGCACCCCCCGTCGCCCCC